CAGCTGTTCTGTAAAAGGGAAGTAAAGGAAGCCATATCAAAGGCAAAGTTGGCGTTCGGGTGATTTGTATACATCATGACATTGAGCTAAATATTTTCCCATCCAGACCTTGCACTTGGTCAATAAGTACATATTATGCACTTATTGAGTGAGCAGGAGGGCTGGACAGGAAAACGATGGACCAAGTGCAGTGAGGCCTGCGCATTATACGCAACCAAACTCAGTCAATAAGCAGTTTATCATGATCACTGTATTAGCAAATAATAGGATGTAGGATAAAGATTAAGAACCACGCACTATAGACTGCATCAGGGGATGAAAAAAAAAATAAACTGGTTTCAACCATTAACAGGATGTAGAAAACAGCGAGAGGGTAAAACCATGGATCAAATCTTAGGCATTATAGTTTCAGAAGAGACTGAACGCGTCTTTCTTAACCTGGCATGTAACGACCAACTGAATCAAGCCAAAAGTTTAACAACATTGGAAGTCGGTTTCATAATGTTTTAATTTGCATTAATCAATTTTACATTGAAACAATTCATACTCTTTCCTCCTAAATGAAAAGTATTCGATTTGCTCATGAATTTTGGGACGTGACGCCAGTAAATTGAACTGTAATTTTCTTCGCCATCCAAGCATTATCCTATATCCGTCGTTCCACAATGAACCTCTATATTTATACCGGATTAAAATGATATCGACTATTAATTTACTTTGTTAATTTCCGGTAAAACGATGTTTTAAAACCAATATAGTTCAAGTTCCCTCAGTACTTGACTGTGCAGGCAGGGTATCCAGCTTTCATTTGAGCGAAGACCTAATCTAGGCAGTTTAACTATATTCAAATGCAGTTCTTTTCAGCTGTGTATTGTTCTCTCCAAACATAAGGTTGGCGGATTCAGGCTGGCAATTGATTTACTTAGATAATTAAACACAGAGTAGATTGTAGGTTAGCACAATATTTCAAACGTTCACATATTGGAGCTGATAGAAAGTATATAGTTAACGATCAGTTATTGTCAATAGCCTCATTTCTTTTACAGACACGTTCGCTGCATCATTTGAGGGTAGGAACAATTTTTTAGGACGTTGGCCAATCGTTTGTTTGATACCACTACAGCTGGTGGACAGCAATCTTTTTCAAAGAACTCTAATAAGACCTGTCCTTTTCAAGAATTTCCACTTGTTTTGCCAAAGATATGTGTTTTTTGAATGCCCTTAAATCGAACAAAGCGTCTGCTAATCTTTGCCAAAATCAGGTGCGATTTTTGGAGGATGAAAGTAGAAAGTTAAAAATAAAAAGTCTTACCTACAGGTAGCCGTCAACACCGTCCAGAGCTCTAGTGACTTAGTGCTTCAGATGTTGGCGCTTAAATTGTTTGGTTTGGTTGATTATTCAATATGATGCTAATCTAGTACTCTTCGCAGCCAAATGAATAAAAGGGAAAATTTTCTCGCCTTCATACGTGTTTTTCCAAAGATATGTTTTTTTGAACGCCCATGAATCGAACAAGGCATTTGCCAATCCTGCAAAATCAGGTGCAATTTGTGGAGGATAATTTAGAAAGTTAAAAATACAAAGTCTTACCTGCAGGGAGCCGTCAGCACCGTTCAGAGTTCTCGTGACTTATTGCTTTAGATGTTGGCGTTGAAACTGTTTGGTTCTGTTGATTAGTCAATATGATGTAAATGTAGTACTCTGCACAGCCAAATGAATGAAAAGGAAGGGGTTAAGAATGAGAACAAACAGTATATTGCCTTAAGGATGTTTTCAGATCTTGGCGCTTAAATTTCTTCAGATCTTGTCGCTTAAATTGTTTGGTTCGGTTGATTATTCTTTATGATCCAAATGTAAAACTCTTCACCGCGCCAAATGAATGAAAAGGAAGGGCTTAAGAATTCAAAGACACAGAGTTCTGTCTTAAGAATGTTTTCAGATGTCGGTGCTTAAATTGTTTGGTTCGGTTCGGTTGATTATTCAATATGCAAATGTGGAACTCTTCATAGGCAAATGAATAAAAAGGAGGGGCTTAAGTATGTAAAGACACCGTATTCTGCATTGAGGAAACTATTTTTCGAGCAGATTTCCTTTGTTTATGGGCCATCCTTACAAAGTAAGACGCCGGTGAACTTTGCTTAATAAATCAATTTCATTGCTCTATAGAAAGATCTACTTAAATCACTCACTCTGCGATTTACTTCAATACTCTGCACAAAATATGGATCCTTCTTTTATTTTGAAGTTTAAGCAAGAATCCCACTTTCCAGCGACTTTGAAACAATTCCCTAAGAACACTTTATCGGTGACATCATTGTCCTGTAACGTGAAATGCCTTCAACTATGCATTTAGACTTAACTACATTCAGGGTGATTGATATTAGTATTAACTAAAAAGGGCACAAAAAAAGATGGATTTTGCCCGGTTTTAGAGTGACTTGTCCACCTCTATGAAAAAAAAGCAAAGAAGAAATGGCCATCTTGGTGAGTCTTTGTATTGTCACACTTGCGTCTACGATCAGTTTTCGTGTGGGCGTCACTTGCTTTTCGGTGTTAAACTACCAGAGTCACTGTGACTAAGGTACATGCAGATCAACCCCTGTTTTGCTAGCTCTTTTGATTCGAAAGCTCTAACACTTCACTCTGTCTAAATCAGCTGCTGCAAATGTCCTCCAAAGCTATTCTGAGTAGATTAGTGTCATATGAAGTGTACCCCATCTGCCTCTTGTGGCTGTTGGCCCACATCACCTTTTTGCTGGAGAAAGATTGGAGATTAGCGAGAGAGGTTTTCAGATGTTTTGCTGACTATCATTAAATGACAAATGATAGGAAGAAGGCAGGAAGTTTTCTTTTAAAGGGACAACCTGGTAGTAGTCGTGTATGTTGGAATAACTGCAAACAAAAGAAGGCCGCCACATTTTATTCAACTTAAGTTACACTTTACTACAATTGATACACGGAGACTGCAATGTGAAATTGAATTACTTCTCGTTTTATCTTTGAATGCTTTAAGACATAAATTGTATACACTGCATTAAACCCCTCAATTATAACTATTCTGTTTTCAACCCTTACATCTCATAAACTAAACTGCATTCACACACACTAGCACACTGCAAAGTAAAAAATCTCCTTTAGTCCTTGGTATTTCCACGATACCAAGTCTGCGGCATAGAACCTGAAAGAATAATAAAGTCGATGATTAGCGAATACGAAAATAGCCATCAATATTTTTATGGAATTTATAGGGTACTCCTCTAAGGATTTCACTAAATATTCATTTCTTAAAGCTAGTCTATCCGGTTCACTAAACTTCTAAATCAATAGCCCATTTCCAAACTACAAGTCACCTCTTTTCCAAAACAAGTTCTGGTGCTTGTTCTTTCATATGATCATTCACATGCAAACTAAACTCACTTCCATAAAAATGGTTGAGCTCCAGGCCTCGTTTTTAAAAAGAGGCTAAGAATGATTCGGAAATGGCCTGTTAGAACAGTCTCTAAAGAGTAAACTTTTCCAACTAATACCCCATCCACACATGTATTGTAAAACATGGTTCAAAATTGGTTTTCCACATAGAAGCTGCTTCAGTAATAATGTTTGTCGAATTCAAATTTTGCACATTGGAAAGATAAAGAGGTGACTACATCTGAATCCTATGGAGACTACAGATTTTCAACTCTCTGTTTCTGATTTTCGTTCAGTTCAACCCGTTTAACTAAACATGTTTTGCTGATATTAATGGGCTTTCAGGTAATAATTTGTTTTTACTTCTCATTCCCGATCCTAATCACAACATTTCAAACCTAAAAAAGCCATGACGATCTAAACCGACATTGATACAAATCTCCCTCCCAAGGGATTAAAATGCATGAGGTTTTACCAAACCGGAGTAAAAAAAAGCTTAATAAAACTTACTTGGAGCTGGGGCACTTGCTATTAATTACAGCAATGTTCGCAGCTTCTTGTATGACCAGCTCGCAGTTCCCTAGAACAGTTTCTCCAACAGACTTCACTACAGGCGGGGTCTCCCTTTTTTAAAAGAAAATGCTTTGCCTCCCTGCTATTCATTTTTATCTCGGGATCGAACTGTTTTCCTGTAAAAGGAAGTAAAGGAAGCAGAAATAAATTTAGCGTTCAGATAAATTTTTAGGGCGGAAACCATTTTTCAGTTTTTTAAACGTACATACCTTGAAGCAATCAAACAAGGTGAAAAAATGTTTATTTAGAGCGGTCATAGGACTAAAAGAACTCCGATTCACAATGGAAATAGGACCAAATGGAGTCCAACTCAGTTTGAAATTATACGAGTGATTAACAATATTGGACGACCGCGAAGAGGGAGTTCGATTCTCCAATCAAGGGTATGATTAGACATTATTGTGTAGCCGGTAGTTAACACGAAAATGTCAGCATAGCTATTATTAATTAGAATTCATTTTAGATAGTTTGAAATATTGATACGATTTTTCAAGGAGGTTGCTTGCTGACAAGGACTTTTATAAATTAAGTTTCAAAATTAAGTCTATCATTACTGAATCTCTGTTATTAAGAAAGATATCAACCAAAAGAGGGGCAGACGTTCTTACATCAATCTTAATGAAAGAGCTTTTTACATGATACAAAACTGTTACCAATATTTAGAAAAAAATAATTCGAAATATCTGTAACATAGGTCCTCTCTTTAAGCCTGTGCTAACATAAAAAAAAAATATATATATATATATATATATGCATGATACCTTCCAGCGGCGATACTGGTTTTTTCAGATGACGAGCGCGTGACATTACAACGACCACCAAAAGTGCAAGTACGACAAAAACAAAGGGCCTTCATGATCACAGAGAAAACTTAAGATCCGGGGAGGCGTCTGAAAAGAAAAATAGACAAAAAAATTATTTGGATCGAAATTATTTATAGGAAGACATTCACACAGGCCCCGGAGTGATTCTGCTTGTGTTAGATTTACCTCTTAGGTTTCACGGCTTTCTTTTAGGAGCAAAAATGGAATGGTATGATACCTTGTAAACTCACTATACGACTTGGAAAAGTAGTTTGAAACCGGCTTCCAATATTCGATATTACCGTGTAAATTATTGAACAAATTATTTTAATATTAATGAAGATTGTTTATTTATTTATTGATATGTATCGCGCAAATATCAATCCAGAGGAAATAATTTTCATCTGGAAGTATATTTTCATTGTCAGTCTTAATTTTTCTGCTAATAAGTGATTGATATCAGTGAGAGTGCATGATAGCTCACTTCCTCATTATAAAAATATCTAAGATCGGAAGTTATTTCTTCCAACTGATGACTATAAAAGTTTTTGTTCACTAATTGGGAGAATTTAGAGTTGAATATTTCATGAATATTATCATCTAATTGATAATTTTCCTTATTTTCATATTCTTTTCTGCGTAATCGAATTGTAACTAACTCTTATAAAGAAATAAAGTGAAGAAAAGGGGGATTATCTCTGTAGACTGATCCATTTTCAAAATGTTTCAAAGGATTTTTCGATTAAATGTCGTAAAGGAAAAATCGATGCAAGCGCAACAGCAAATCATAGAAAAGGAAAATGCGTTTAAAAGCTGGACAATGAAAACTCAACTTTAAAACAAACCAAGTGGCTAAAGCACGGGAAAATACAGGTGTCTAAGTCGTGATTTGGTCTAATTTACAGCTTGATCGAGAGAGTGGCCTGAGTTTTCTCAACCAATCACAAGGCAAAGTTAAGCACGATCAATTATTTTCGACGCTCAATTGAAAACTGCTGCAATACGGGTGATTAATTTTAAGACCCATCTTGCCATCGTTAGGAATGCAAATCTTTCTCCGCCCGTCGATATCTGCCCTATTAAATCCAGTGAAGACCCAAGAAAAGTGAAGAAGTGGCACAAGAAGAAAGATTTTAAAACGGGGTCGTTTCGTTTTTGCGCCAGTTTTTATCAGAAAGATTCACACCGTCGGTAGTTCCGAAATCAAAAGCACTCCATTTGCTCTTACATTTTGGGTTCTGAGTCAAGTAGCGTCTTCTATGCTCTTTTCGACCAGCCAAGAACACCAAACACCATAGAATATCAGTAGTTCCGAACCTAGCTCCTAAATCGTCAATCTCGAATCGAAATCCAACACTTCTCTCGGTCGATTCGTTTTAATGTGATTTTGCAGTGGAGCATTTCTGCTATTTGCACGCAATTTCTAACATGTTTGCTTGAAGAGTGTTTCCACTTTCAAGTTCAACGAAGAACTAGTTTTCCTTGACAAGGACTTTATTTCAAAACTGAAAGTAGAGATAACCGACCCAAAGTAATATAAATTTTTCAGTATATTGCAGCAGAATCGTAAGACTCACCTTTTCTCGTCGAGTCCAACTGAACAGTGTTAGCTGAACGGTGAAGCAATCAGCTTTGAAGATGCACCGAGACATGCACTCAAAATACCTTCCTTTCCTTCAACGGGCGGTGGTTTTGATGAAAGGATGAATGACACTTGTTATCATGAACATTCAAATGCTAATCATTCTATTTTTTGGGGAAAGTTGATATGGTTTCCTTTTCGCCCCATTATGTTTAACAATTATGCTTTGTCGACACATTTTCATGATTAGCTTTGTCTCGGCCGAGGGATAATATTAATTTCTTATTTGGTTATGAAGCACAATATCAGAGGAAAAAAAAGACTTCCGAAAAAAGATCCCAAGTCACTCACTTATACTTGTAATTTCTTCGAAATCTGTGTTATGTTTCAAGACTTTTCTTAATTGTGCCAATATCATACATCGTGACTTGCATTGTTGGAGAACAATTGTTCCCTAGCTCCGGGCGTTTTGCACGGTACATTATCTCATGTGAAGAAATGACATGAAATTAAACTACACTGAAACTTTGAACTTTTTCCACCTCATTTTACCTTTTGTGATATCAAAAATTACCCAAGTTCGCTTCTACTATTGGAATGTAGAGTGGCCTAAAGGGACTTTTCTAGGAGTGAACAACATGTCATATTATTTCAGTCTGTAGCTATTTTTATTACGTGCGCATAACACGCTCCACTTGATGAGACTTGTTCAATGAAACTTAGAACTGCAATGAAAACAATTCACAGACCTGTCTGTTCTGCATCCCAACTTGATATAATTGATATGAAGAGTCAAGGTTGCGACAGAGAGTCTATTGAAAAGTCTATTTAAAGTGTGATTGCGTGGGAATAATAAGGTAGAATTCTCGAAGAGATGATCACGAGATCACACAAGACACAGCGTTCTACTTAGACTTTCCCAAACACAGTAAAATAAAATTTCTAACCCCACGATACTGATGAAACATGCACTTGATGAAAGGCGAAAGACCATATCACCTTAAAATCAATGGTCTTTCAAAATTTACCAACCTTTTTTCGCGAGTAGTTCATAACAATATTTTTCAATTACACAAAGTCATTTTGCCTGTCTCGTGCTGACTCTTCGATGCAGTTTTGCAGTTTAATAATCAAAAGCTATTTTCACAAAGTCGTTTGCCTGTCTCGTGTTGACTCTTCGATGCATTTTTTGCAATTTCAAAAGCCATGTAAATAACAATGGAATGCAGACTTGGGGTGAAAAATGGACGCTTAAGTTTACCACGATTAATTTCAAAACATTCCAGTGCTTAAGCATTTTACCAGGCTAGCTAATTAGTTTCGTAAGTTTTCTGACATAAGTTTATATTTTTCTGATGGAGCTTACATCTTTGCACAGATGATGTTCAAAAGAAGAATAGAAGGGCGCAAATTTTGGTCACGCTCATCTATACGAGCAATATCGGTGTTTAAAGGGATTTAAGTTCCTTTTGGAGGCACTCATAATATAAACAGGGCGGCTTCACTTTTAAATAATTGGAAAGTCTCTAAACTTTTACTTTCGCAGTGCTCTGTGGAGCGGATCATAAATATTTCC